AATATGACATTATTTATTCTTCCAAAGCAGCAAAAGTATAAAACCTCGTCCATGTACCGGATAATGGTAAAAAAACATCGCCACTGCGCTTTTATTCCCGACTGTCCGGAAATCCATTCATGTCAATTGTTCGTGTCTGACAGTGAACTTCGCTACAGGATGTAACCTAACTGTTTCCAATAAAAGTCGAGTTTATTTCACGGGTCAATTTAAACCGTGCGCGTATGTATTTGTTGATATCAGTGATATTACTGAAAATTATAGAGATCTTTGATGTATGAATAAATAGAGTTTCTAATGCCGATTCCAAAAATGTATAATGTCATACATCGACATCGCCAAACCTTCATAATTTCCTAGTAGGCCTTGAACTGATCAAATAGTCGTTTGTTTCGTATACCAAACCAGACCTCACATTGAACATAGTAGAAGAGTTTGCAAGTTGGAGTTGAAATATGTCAATAACCTTGACGATGACTATCAAGGTAAGTTGAAGATCAAATGAATTTCCAACGGGAAATACCTATTTTTGATTCATGAAAAGCAAATTGGAATAACACCTTGTACAACCAAGTGGCCTCAATGAATTATTATTTTAGAAATCCCTTGACAATCATAATACCTGCTCGTTCCCAACCTCATATTAATTGCCCTTCTGAACCGCAAACTATTTCTAATTGGATTGAATTCCCGTTTCTATTTTTAGCTCTTCAGATGAACGTAGCGGTATTTTGATTAACTGTTTCGTCAAGATTTATTCATTCCAAGTTATTTATGCGTTGTCATTGTTTTCCTAAATTTTGTCTTCGACCTTTTTACGCTTGTTTACTTATCTCCGCGACTAGCTGAAACGGAATTTGATATACCATATGACCAAAATAAATATAAATCGCTAAAGTTGATAGCTTTAGCTTCATCAGTTCAAGTATCAATGGCAATGCCTCTACAAAATAATGTTAGTCTCAAATCTACTCAAACCATGCATGTTAATATCCAGAAAATACAGGCTGTTAATCAAGTACGTATCATAAATTTAACAGACAATTTTTTGAGTAATTTTAAGACAAAAAGTTCATATAAACATAGGTCCGCACATTCTTCATTCTCAAGATACAAGGTGTTAAATTTAAAAAAATGCTGTTTCGTAAGTATCATAAATATCCTTTAACTAATTTTGTTGTAATTTGGCGGTGGTATTTATAACATTTAGGACCTACAGTATATTCAGATAAGAGATAGACCAGATGTAAACAACAGGTTCGGGTGATTTTCACGCTAAGGCAGCCGTCTCGACGTAAAACAGGAGCCCTCATTGGTCAATTCGCAATTAAATGCCTATGCCGAGCGGCAGAGCAGTCGTATCAAGGCAGAGTCACATTCAGGTTCAGACGTGTTACGTATGTCGTGTGCATCATTGCAATTTGATATTTCTTTGGACGTTTTCGTTTGTTATCTTATTAAGTTGTTGAGTTTGTCGTTGTTATTGTTTTACCTTGTTATTGTTATCAATCAACTGCTTGCGCAAAATGCCCAGTAGTACAGATACTGCCGATGAAGTTGTAAACTCCTGTAGTCCACCTAGGAAACGCTCTAAAAAAAGACACCTGAGTGCAAAAATGAAAGAGGTCATTTTGAATATATATAAGATCGAGCGCGAGGAGAACGAGGCATCAACCATCAAAGAAATTGTTGTGAAGGTTTCTCACAAAGTTGGGGTGTGTCGCGCATCAGTGTTTAATGTGTTAAGACAATACAAAAAAAATCACACCTTTTCTGAGCCAATAACCAGTAAACATCGCAAAAGTATTGTTAAATCATTGGATGAAGCTGATAAGCATGCGATTAGGAGGAAAGTGCATGAATTCTTCTTTAGGAATGAAATACCTACTATAGATAAAGTACTGCAGGAGGTAAATGGAGATACAACGTTGCCAAATTTCAAACGATCAACTTTCCATGCGTTACTGAAGCATTTAAATTTCAAATGGAAAAAACGGGGTCGTAATAGTTTACTACTGGATAGAGAAGAAATTATGCTATGGAGGAGGGATTATTTAACAAAAATGGGGAAATATAGAAATCAAAACAGGAAGATTTATTACCTTGATGAAACGTGGGTAAACGCAGGACACACTACAAGTAAAGTATGGGTTGATGATTCTGTAACTTCATCCAGGAGGGCCTTTCTAGATGGACTGTCCACCGGATTAAAAAATCCAGCAGGTAAATACGAGTAATAGACAACAATCGGATGTTTTTCAAACCTTGGGAACAAGGTTCTAAACATTAATTCCAGGGGGCAGATAAAACATATTACAAGTAACAAAACTTTTATAACTTTCGATAAAATGCGTGGATGTTTTATTGTCATTTTCATTTATTAGAACTTTTTTAAGCCATGTTTTTATGTGTTTTCGATATTTCAATAATTTTTTAATATAATCTTAAAATATGTCGAATATTATAAACTTAAAAAAGTTACTAAGTTTTATATTGTGTACCGTTCCTAATATTTCTAATCATTTTAATTCATACTTTAAGCTTTATAAAGTTATAATTTGTTAATATTAATATTTGCGCGTATTTCAGGTTCCTGATCATTCATTTTTTAAAGGTTTATAACTTTAAATTAAATTGTGAAGCGCTGAGTAATCATACGACGTTCAATATTCTTTCTTTCAATATGACTAAATAATCCCAATTATAGCAATCTGATACTCATGTCTCAATGTTTTTTCGCTGAATGTGATGAAAACATTTGAAAAAGGTTCGCTTATTGAAATAAATCTACACCAGTTAGTACTTCGATTCCCAGGTAAAGGGAAAAGGCTCATTGTCTGCCATATTGGCAGTGAGGATGGATTTGTTGTTGACGGTCTGTGGTGCTTTGAGTCTAAGAAAACTGGAGATTACCACGAGGAAATGAATGGCGAATCGTTTGAACAGTGGTTTTCAAAAATTTTACCGAACTTAGAGGAAAACGCAGTAATTGTGTTGGATAATGCGCCTTATCATTCTCGAAGAATGGAGAAGGTCCCAACAACGGCTTCAAGGAAAGTTGATGTTCAAAATTGGCTCCGCTCGAAAAATATCAACTTTGAAGAAGCAATGCTGAAAGTACAATTATTAAGAATTGTCAAGGATCACAAGGCGGAATATCAAAAATACGCCATTGACGAAATGGCAGCAAGTCAAAATAAAACTGTGCTCCGTTTACCTCCATACCATTGCGAGCTCAATCCCATTGAGCTCATATGGGCAGAGGTTAAAGATTATATAGCTAAGCACAATACAACTTTTAAATTTTTTGACCTCAAAGGACTTTTCAAAGAAGCACTAGAATTAATAACAGCGCAAAAATGGAAAAACTGTATTAAGCACGTGAAAGACAAAGTTGAAAAGAGAATGTGGGAACTGGACAATATTTTAGAGGAACAAGTCGAGCCATTCATTATTGACGTTGGTGCTTCAGGCAGTAGCGATGATGAAAGCTCATCAAGCTCATCTTTCCAATAAAAGATGTCGTTCATCAAATTCGGTAAGTTATAAGTAATTATAAAGCTACTGTATTTTTTAATTAATTATTGACATTTTTGAACCGATTTTGGCAAAACCTATTCAAGAATCCACTTTCTGACAATGTTCAACCATGCACATTTTTTTACGTTTTGAACGTTTTAATTTGGTTACATATTTACCTAGAAATCAAAAAATATACTAATCAATATTCTAAAAGCAATTTTAAGAGATATACGATTATTCTTAATTTAGGCTAATTTAAACGCCATTTTGAGATTACATTCGACTGTATTTCACCAAACATCAGGCGGCATCCGAAGCTGGAAATCGAAGCGAAAATTTTGAAACCCTTATGTATATTTACATCATTATATATTTCTTACCCCACCCCCACATGATCCTATATCCATCACCAATCGTATACACATCGAATTGTGCTAATTTACTACAAAGTTACGCAAAGCAGCATCTACTATCTAAAATATGTACTGCGTGACTCTTAATACGTCCCTGCCGAATGTTACAGCGTTCGATGATCACGTGGTCTTGTCTATGTCCGGTCTATCTCTTATCTGAATATACTGTAATTTATCCTATAACGAACTATTATTACATGAACTATTTGTCTTAAAATTACTCGAAGAATTGTCTGTTAAATTTATGATACGTACTTAATTAATACCCTGTACAGGCAACTTTAAACTGATTTTAGTCTACTTCGTTTTTGTAAGTCAAATAGCAATAGGAAGCAATAGGAAGCTAAATCTGGTAATTAAAAACACTAAAACTCAAATAGTTGACAACAAAACTTTGGTACCATCTCTTCTGATAAAGGTCATAACGTTCGTACAGTCTACTTGTCTAAATATTTTTCGCCATCACAAATGTGAGGCATTCTGGCAGCGTTGCCAATCACATCCGAGAGAAAAACGGTATATGAGCTTGAAAAAAAAACTGTAGATAACTGTAGACTATTATTTAAAAACTGTAAATCTACAGTATTGTTCACGAGTACCTACCTCGAACAAGGTCAAAAAGTGACAGTTTTTCATTGCTTAAGCGAATTCTTTTTGAGCGGTTGTGGTTCTGGTTGACCTTGAATGACGTAAAAATGACAGAATTTCCATCCAAATTTCTCCAAATTCGCTCAAGGTCAACCAGAACCACAACCGCTCAAAAAGAATTTGCCTTTCGCGTGCACGACACGCTGTCATTTTTGACATTGTTTCGCGATATATACTAGTAATAATAGTATATTGCTTACGAATAGTGCACTTCTGAAAAGTTCTTTTCGGCGATCCCGATTCTGGTTGACCTTGAGTGACAAAGATTCGCTTTGGAAAAACTGCCCTCAAGGCTCGACAAGCTAACGTTAGTTTCTTCAAGCCTACTGCAATATAATCTAGTTGCTGAAACCATGCTTGTTAATATACGGCCAATATGCGCAATTCCAACTTTTAGTTTCACACCCCCAAGATTACCTTTACGACTTTTGGTGAGGGGTATTTCGGGGGCGTCTTTTTTCTTTCTACGAAATTGTCCGGTACGTCGATAGCTCTTTCTTGGGTGTCATCTCCGAATGTCACTCCTAACAATCGGTCATATCCCACCTGGATAAAAAGTCGGGAGAAAGATATAGACGAGACGGAAAGGTCATATTTGTGGGAGACATTTTTCGACTCATTTTTTTTTTCACTATCACGTCTGTTCGATGCACTTTAACATGAAACCGGGTGGTAGCCCGGTGCAAACTTGTGTAAGCCATTTTGTTCAAATAAGTTACAGAAAAATTGTAAGATTTTTAGTGACTTTATTCCACACAACCTCCTCACTATGTAGAGGTAGTTCGGTATAAAAAAAATCTAATAATTCTAATTCGCAGCTTAAAAACTGAGTCTACAACTATCATTTTTGAGGGTCTAATTTGAAGTTCGAACCTTTCCCTACAAGACCTTGAAGAGTATGCTGGACTTAGTTTATCGTTAAAGCATTGGGATTCAATGGTTAATAACGCTTAAGGTTTGAAGATAATTTAGATGCTCAAAAATGATAATCACTAGCCGAGTTGTTTTGTATTGAAAATGGCCATTTTTTAAGTTTTGCAGACCAACTTTAGAGAAAACATACTTTTTTGTTTATACAGGGTGATTCCCAAGTTCCTAACAAAAAATGAAACGTGATACACAGGATCGCAATTTAAGGGGGTCTCATACAGGGTGGCGCATCGAAAACGAAACAGACGCATTTACTTGCATCTCATTTTTTTTTTTTGGAAAAACGTTCAGACCCGTCGATTTTGTTTTCGAGGGGGACACAAGTTTGGCAAAAAATCACGTTAGCACGTGCAGCCCCCTAAGCGGGAGTGACACCACCCCCAAAATCTTAAATGGAAAGGGGGATCGAGTGATACCTTATTTTAAAGGTCTTTCAATTCCCTTTATAATTATATAAAATTAATGTACTTCAGTTCAGTAGTTTTGAAGATTTATTGATTTAAAACTAATATACTAAGTGACATATAAATCCGAACACCCAGTTTAAATGGTTTTATTTTAATAAAAGTTGGTGAATATATTTATCTTACTGTAAATAACAAGTGAAAAAATGTTCAGCCTTATCAGTTGGACATTCCGGTTTTTATACTGCTTTTTTTTTAATTCACTAACGCTCTAAAAATGAATATTTCAGCCGCAGTATCGATTTCGTCAACTTAGTGAGTTTGATAGGGGCCGTATAGTGGGACTTCGGGAAGCTGGACTTTCTTTTCGGGCAATTGCAGTTAGAGTGCAAAGAAGTGTAGGCACTGTGGTTAGGTGTTGTCAGGCATGGCTTTGAGAAGGCCGTACGCAAAGAACAAGGGGCACTGGACGCCGCCGTAGAACAACAGACCGTGAAGATCGCCGCCTTAGATTATTGGCCTTAAGGGACCGTTTCTCCACTACCAGGTCCATTGCAAATGGATGTTTTGCAGAACACGGAAGACCTATTGGCATGCGAAGTGTTTACCGACGAATGAGAAGTTTTGGCTTGTTTTCATACCGGCCACACTGGGTCCTCCCTTTAACTCGAGAACACCGACGTAATGGCCTTGAGTGGTGCAGACAACGGTCACTCTGGGATCAGGAATGGAACAGTATTGTCTTTAGTGACGAGTCTCGATTTTGTTTAGGCATGCACGATGGTCGTGACAGGGTTAGAAGGCGACGTGGCGAAAGGAGGAATCCACAGTTTTTTGTTGAAAGATATGTTCATCACACTGTTGGAGTTATGGTTTGGGGTGCTATAGCTTATGGTCACCTTTAATCTTCATCAGAGGTAACATGAACGCGCAGCGTTATATCCACGAAGTTCTAGAACCCCATCTTTTACCCTATCTTGACTCCCTGGCAGATCCAACTTTCCAACAAGATAATGCCCGACCACATGTTGCAAGAGTCACAATAGACTTCTTTCAACATAATGATGTCACATTGTTACCATGGCCACCAAGATCTCCCGACTTATCCCCAATTGAGCACGTGTGGGATATGATGGGTAGGAGATTGCTCAATTTGCAACGTCCTCCTCAGACTCTAGAAGGACTTCGAGAGGAGTTGGTGGTTGTCTGGAATGAGATACCACAGGAGGACATTGACCACCTGATCAGAAGCATGCCTAGGCGCGTTGGAGAATGCGTAGCACATCAGGGTGCATCCACACATTACTAAAGGTCAAAGGGCTTTAAAGCAGTGCAATCATTTTGAAATTTTTATCATTTACTTATTATGCTTCATTAAGTACTTATACAAAATTTTATTAAAATAAAACCATTTAAACTGGGTGTTCGGATTTATATGTCACTTAGTATATTTCCTTATCTTTGTTCAAGAAATACCTTTTTTGCCACAAAAAATGCTCCAATAGCTATTTTCAACAACAAAATGATAAACAAACCATGGGCGTAGTGAAGAAAAGCATTTACTTATTAAGTAAATTCTTTTAGTCAAATTTATTCTGAAAGTAGTACAAACTAATCTGATGTACCTATTAAAGTCTACTTTCAGCTTTAAATCAATGAATCTTCAAAACTACTGAACTGAAGTACATTAATTTTTCCAAATAAAAATAGCACGCCACTGTTCGGAACGCGCAATTTTTTGAATTTTACCTTTAGTTTGCTACAAATAATCTTGTGTTTTTCCTGGAGTGCATTATTTTCGTAAAGATAAAAAACTAATTAGATAATTAAAGCTTTATTTCAAAAAGACCACCAATCTGGCGCACGACTTGTGAATTACCCTGTATATATAAGTCTGGATGAATTTACTCCACAGTTAGTAGTCATAGGAAACCCCCTGTGGATCGCTGGTGCGGGTACAAAGAACCATTTTGCTTAAAATAATTCGAAAACCCTAACGAAAACTTTATCGAAAAAAACTATATCTATTAAAAAAATGTTTAAGGAAATTTTCACCCGGCAAGATCATGACTCGTGTTAAAGGACATCCAACAAACCTGATTACGAAAAAATCAATCTCTCGCACATGTGCGAGGTCTAAAACGCGTCGCGCAATGAACATCTCCGGCACGACCTTAAGGCGGTTACTGCGACATCGCTAGCGCACGCCCAGACTCACCTGCAGCGCGGCCTTAGGGGGCGGATACCTCGGAGGCGTCTTGTTCCGCGCCACGAACGTGTCCGGCACGTCAACTGCCATTTCCCGATGCGGTCCGTCCGTGCTGCCTCCTCCCCCGCCTTGCCCCGTGGACAGCATCATCACCATATCGTCCAGTTCCACGTCGTCCGCCTGCAGGTGCTTCTTGACGGGCTCCTGGAGGTCCTCCTCGCAACAGCCGCCGTCCAGCACCACGATGCTGCTGCCACTGCGACGGCGGGGCCTGGAACGACGAAAAATAGTATGTTACGCGACTAGGTCTAAAAGTGGACCGAGTAAAATCGATAGAAGTCCGTTGTACGAACATCATACGCAGGGTGTCGCAACCGCAGTGGTATTATGTAAAATTCAAATTCAAAATATTTATTTCGTCATGAATAATAATAATATTTATTCGCCAAAATACAAAAAATGGGCAAATAAATATGAAAAAACCACAGAAGGCATCGCCTGTGTGTGGTTTATATCTTAATAACTAACAATCAATCATATATGTGTATAACAATTATTGTTAAATCTAAAAGGTTTTAATGTAATTGGAATTTTGTAGTTTTAGTTTTCTATATAATTATGTATAGTCATTCGCTGCACATTACTAACCCAGTCTTTCAATTTTCTTCTAAATTTTTTTCCAAAATTAAGTATCTTTATTTCGTTTGGTACTAAGAATTTAAATGATTTTTTGAATGATGTTTTGTGTGGTCTTTGGATATTAGATGAGCCTATTCGAAATCGTGTGTTATGCTCGTGTTTATAGGATTTTTTCTTTTTATTACAATACTTATGGTATAAGATGGTGGCATGTAAGAAATAAAGTTGTCTTGTATCAAGTATCCCTGTTTCTTGATATAAGTTGTCCGTTGGATATAATCTTGGCTTATGGAAAATGGCTGTCAAAACAGTTTTTTGTGCTATATTCAGGTCAGAAATATATGTCTTGCAGGCGGCACCCCAGGCTGTGATGCCGTAATAAACAACATAAACAAAGGAACTTCTACAATATAGAGCAATGACGATTATAAAACCGATACATTGGACCCTTTAATACAAAGAGTCCATGCGAGAAATCCCTGAACACCCTGAAAACCCTTAAACAAAATTAAAAAAATAAAGAGGCACAGGCGGTGAAACACAAAAAGGCAAAAACGAAGAAAGAACCCCGGGAGCTGGCAACGGACGCGAAAAACAAATCTATACAAGTTGTCAGCGAGTAGGAATGTATACTAAGTGACATATAAATCCGAACACCCAGTTTAAATGGTTTTATTTTAATAAAATTTTGTATAAGTACTTAATGAAGCATAATAAGTAAATGATAAAAAATTCAAAATGATTGCACTGCTTTAAAGCCCTTTGACCTTTAATAATGTGTGGGATGCACCCTGATGTGCTACGCATTCTCCAACGCGCTTAGGCATGCTTCTGATCAGGTGGTCAATGTCCTCCTGTGGTATCTTTCCAGGCAACCACCAACTCCTCTCGAAGTGCTTCTAGAGTCTGAGGAGGACGTTGCAAATTGAGCAATCTCCTACCCATCATATCCCACACGTGCTCAATTGGGGATAAGTCGGGAGATCTTGGTGGCCATGGTAACAATGTGACATCATTATGTTGAAAGAAGTCTATTGTGACTTGCTACATGTGGTCGGGCATTATCTTGTTGGAAAGTTGGATCTGCCAGGGTGTCCAGATAGGGTAAAAGATGGGGTTCTAGAACTTCGTGGATATAACGCTGCGCGTTCATTTTACCTCTGATGAAGGTGACCTGGAACCATAAGCTATAGCACCCCAAACCATAACTCCAACAGTGTGATGAACATGTCTTTCAACAAAAAACTGTGGATTCCTCCTTTCACCACGTCACCTTCTAATCCTGGCACGACCATCGTGCATGCCTAAACAAAATCGAGACTCGACACTAAAGACAATACTGTTCCATTCCTGATCCCAGAGTGACCGTTGTCTGCACCACTCAAGGCGATTACGTCGGTGTTCTCGAGTTAAAGGGAGGACCCAGTGTAGCCGGTATGAAAACAAGCCAAAACTTCTCATTCGTCGGTAAACACTTCGCATGCCAATAGGTCTTCCGTGTTCTGCAAACTATTCATTTGCAATGGACCTGGTAGTGGAGAAACGGTCCCTTAAGGCCAATAACCTTAGGCGGCGATCTTCACGGTCTGTTGTTCTACGGCGGCGTCCAGTGCCCCTTGCTCTTTGCGTACGGCCTTCTCGAAGCCATGCCTGACAACACCTAACCACAGTGTCTACACTTCTTTGCACTCTAACTGCAATTGCCCGAAAAGAAAGTCCAGCTTCCCGAAGTCCCACTATACTATCAAACTCACTGAGGAAATCGTACAGGTCTCCGTACTCTAGGCATCGTAACCGATCGTAAAGGATGTCAAGAACCAAAATCCGCCAACGTTGATTATTTACTGCGGCTGAAATATTCATTTTTTCACTTGTTATTTACAGTAAGATAAATAGATTAACTAACTTTTATTAAAATAAAACCATTTAAACTGGGTGTTCGGATTTATATGTCACTTAGTATATGTAAATACAGGAATAATAATAACAATTTGCTGTGTAGTTCGATTTGGTTTATCTGCAAAACATGCGAGCGTCAATAAAAACATGGATGCTGATACGGAGCATACATCACCTACAAGGTGTAAATAAAATAAAAGAACTGAACAAATGGGAGAGATAAGGTGGCCGTTGCAGTTATAACCGATAAGTGACGAGGTTACCAACGTTGCCGAGCCCAGCGAATATTCAGTAGATCTGAAAAAATAATAACTTGTTCTCATACTATTCAAAAGCTTTCCACTATTTTTACCTGAGACACGAAAATTTCTGATAGCAGATCAAAAATGTTTTGTCTGTTCGTTATAACCATTGACGCTGCACGATTTTTCTGTTAAATAATATGTACCAACGAAAAAAACTTCACCCCGTCAATGTTCAGCTATCACATATTTTCAAGTCAGATACGACTAGTGTAGCCAGGTCCGATTCCGCTAAGATTTCACACGATAGCGGTCCAGAATATCTGAAAATCTGTATAATAACATTCTTATTTTTTGATTTTTCAATCTTTTACTATTTCTTTTATTATGCAACTTTTATACAGCTGATTTTTGGTGTATCAAGTCCTACAAGCAGTTAAAATAAATGACTCACCTTTGAAAACACCCTGTATTAGTTAACATGGTTCATAAATTTAAACAATCTACCCTATATTATAATTATATTTTTCTTTATATTTTGTTACCTTTTCCTTGTTTCTTATAAAGAGCTTACAAAATTAACTACACTTTGGTGTAAATTTGAATTTCTGCTTTAATACGCTCTAGATGTGTACGGTTTCTCCTCGCACACCAAATTTAGCTAGCCCGGGAAAATATCCTGATACCGGTATAGAAGCCATGAAATAAAATACCTTTCGAAGATTTGCAAAGCCTTGGTTGTCTGAGAAAATGTGCCATTTTTGGAGCGGGGTCAAGTATCTGTTTTTAGTTACATCTTCATGTCGAAAAACCTTTAGATTTTAGATTCTGAGCAAGGAAACAAGCTTCATCTACAGTGAAATTCATTTAGGCTTTTTGGCACCACTTCTTTTAAAGGAGGCGGCACAAACCTTACGGAAATCAGTACCCAGTGAATATTGCTCAAACTTTGAGAAGAAACTGTGATCTAAACTTCTCGTGGTCTCTCAACAATCCTATACCCAACAGCCCAATAACTAAAAATCAACACCCATAAGTAGGTTCTACCAATTCTTCTATAAGGCACTATCCAAAAAGCAGGGAATTCCATTTAAAACAAATATTTTTGATGTGGGGCAAAATTGGGACACCCTGTACAATTGTGAGTATTCTAAAAATGTGCTCTCGGATACCATAAATAACACTGATCAACAGCCAAAAAATATCCTAAATAAAATCAACAAAATATTACTATTTTTAATGTGCTAAAACCGGAATGAAACTTATTTCTTCAATATTAGTGCAAGTTTTAGAGATACGGTAATTATATGTGTTCCTGCTGTGACAGTGTTAATATACTGTAATTCACAAGAATGCACGTGCTACATTTTTATATTCGCCAAGGAAAGATGATGTAATCGGCATGATTGTGTTACGTTATACATACGTGTACATTATATTGTTTTATATTAGCCATTTTTTCTTCAGTTGGCTGACAGCGTTCATGCAAGATGTCTCGAAAGTGTGTAAACAATCCAGATCAGTTTTGTTACGTGTGTGGTGATGTGACTCTTGCGTCTCAGAGACGGTCTATTACTCCACTAATAACAAAGGCATATCAGCTTTATTTCGGTTGTAAACTAGGTGATCAAGACAAACAGTGGGCACCCCACATCTGCTGTAATACATGTGCTTCAAGTCTGAGGAGCTGGTTAAATGGCAAAAAACGGTCTATGCGCTTTGCTGTCCCAATGGTTTGGAGAGAGCCTACAAATCGTATTAATGATTGTTACTTTTGCATGGTACCTTGTGTTGGACAAGCCACAGGTATGTCCAAGAAAAAAAAATCGGTTATTAACTACCCAAACATACCATCTGCGATGAGACCTGTGCCTCACAGTGACGAAATTCCTATTCCAAAACCCCCAGAATCCTACACCTGCGAATCAGAAACCGAATCAGATCATGGCGATCGAGTGATTCGTCAGGAAGAAGATATGCCATCAACGTCAAGAGATCCTGATTTTATACCGAGCACGTCATGCCACCAACCGCACAAAATAACACAGTCAGAATTAAATGATCTTGTAAGAGATTTAGAACTTCCAAAATGTAAGGCAGAGTTACTTGGATCAAGACTGCAGCAGTGGAACTTGTTAGAAGACGATGTTTCGGTATGTGTTTTTTGTAAACGCCACAAAGACTTAGAACCATTTTTCAATATGGAGAATAACTTGGTTTTCTGCAGTAACATTAACGGCTTACTGGCGGCTTTAAATATAAACTGTAACCCAGAAGAATGGAGATTGTTTATCGACAGTTCAACATTGAGATTAAAGGCAGTGTTATTGCATATTGGAAATATTTTACCATCTCTTCCTGTAGGGTATGCAGTTCACATGAAAGAATCATATGACAATATGAAGTCCTATTGACATGCATAAAATACGATGAGCACCAGTGGCATATTTGTGGCGATTTGAAAGTTGTTAGCATATGCCATTAGTAGATTCGAAAAAAATTTTATTAC